GGGACCCAAGAATACTCGAAAGCAACAACACTGACCAAGAAGCGTCTTCGTCACGGCGGAATCCAAAGGATGAAAGCGGAGCTTTTCTTTCCGTCTCTCCTTCGCGAAATTGGATGAAGGAGCTGTGGGGACAATGGCAACAGTACGATCCCAGGGAATGCGTCATCGAGCTTTGCGGTGACGATATTCAAATGCTGCTCACACAGTGGACGCGAAGACTGCCTACGCATTCAATCTGGGCTCGTGACAATCGATGCCTCGACATGCATTCGGGTAGTGGCCCGTGTCCAATCGCTGCAACGACGACAGTAGCCGAGCCATAACAATGTCTGGAACTCAGCGTGTGTCCTGTGCTTTGCCAACCCCAGCGCGTGGCTATGATCAACATTGGCGGCATATAATCGGCTCCAGATCACGTGGCCGCTTGTTCTGGCGGCGAGTTGAGGGGGTGAACGGTGCTTTTTCTTTAATTTTTTTTCTGGAACTTCTATTGCGTGGGGTGAAAAACGAACGCGTGTTTTATAGGTTATTCACGTCAGGGGGATCCGTTTTAAGCGGTATTTGCGCAAAGTACAAAAATTGTTACATCGCCCCTTTAAGTCGGTTCACGGGCGACTGGCTGCAGAACTTTCTCGCCAGCGCAGTTCGGCCTGGCGTAAACAAGTGGTTCTCCAGCGACCGGCCCAGCGGGACCTGGATTTCGCCAACAGATATTAATCGGTCTTCGTTGAGAGAACAGGCGTTCTGATTGTTAGCGTAGGTTATTGTACTTTGTTTGAACTCGCTCGCCAGATACACGCGGCCATGGCCTGGATTTCACTCCACCTTGCTACCCTTTTTAAAGAGCGAACAGATGCTCCGCGATGTTCATTTTGTTTTTTCTCTCTCTGTTCGTATTCTTTGTATCCTACTTGTTTCATTCTTTCCTGCGCTTTTTTCTCGAGTCTTAAAAAAAAGAGGAATGGCTTTTTGCGGTGTGCCCAAGACGCTATCGATTCTTTGCCTCCGTTCATTTCTCTAAAATTTTTTTTGTCTCTCGTGTTCGTCTTTTAACGCGGTGCCGACAGCAGTGGCTCCAGGAGGGGAGGTCCTTTGTTATGATGAAGCATTTTTTTTTTCTCGTGTTTGTGTCGTCGTGCGGCCTACGTTCCCGCGCAAGGTGCATGGGGTGATGAAATGCCGAGCCCCTGTTGTGTGGAACCTGTTGTGTGCCGTATTTGCTTCAGCTAAAGCGAGATACAGAAAAGCTTGCACTTGCCGTTGCTTCTCCAGTGTACGGACCATCTGTTGGAAGACGAGCTCGCTGTGGGGAACTCTCTTTGGGAAAAGCGTTCTACCGCATCTTGCAAGGTCCCCGCAAGCATGTGGGATCCTAACTTTCCCCCTCCGTTTCTGGGGGTTTTAGGGGTCGATGGGGTTACGATGCTCTTTAAACTTGGGGCAGAAAGGGGGCTGCAGGTTGTCGAAAGGCGTGGAGGTTTAATAGGGGAAAGGTCAGAGGTTGAATGCACTTGCTGGTTTACCGAATCTCAAGCGGCTTTCTTTTTTTTTTTTTCCTCGAAGGTATAGGCTTGCACGTAATAGCTGCTCCTTTTTTGTCACGATATATATGGCCCCACATTGTGCTTGCGCTTTGGGTGTCGGCGAGGAACAACTTGGGCCGCATCTATTAAGCATCGATCTGAGAGGCATATGCTTCTGGTGACAAGTGTTACTCGATCATTTGTCTCGTGCGGCGTACAACTCCCCAGTTTCTCCGTGTTTTATTTTTTTTTTCTCTTCCTTTTTTTCTTGTTAGTTTTCACTTGAAGCCCGCCAACGTGAATATGGTGGCGCTGTGAAGGTGTACATCGCACGAGCCCTATTACTACACCGACGTATTTTGTTTTTTTTTTATTTCTTTTCTCGTCGCAGGCCCGACGTGCATATTGTATCGTTCGGTTTTATTGTCCAATCAGAATGGCGTGCCAAGGTATTTTTTTTTTAATTGTTTTCTGGTTTTCTGCTTTTTTTGGGGATCGTCTGCGGTGGGGGGCCTGGACCATCGTCAAGCTGCTGATTCCGCCCGTTAGAAATATGAAACCAATAAATGTTATTATTATTATTATTTATGTTGGTACCCTTGCAATCGGCGAATCGGTCCCGGTCTCGGGTCGCCAGCACATGCCACGGGCGGGGGATGGCGAAGTGCGATTGGTTTGTCTAAGCGAGTCCAGCGCCGTAGGAGTGTCAGCTGATGCGTTCGCAGTGATGGATTGGCCGAGCTGGCTAGCAGCGCTCGCCGCGGTGTGTACCGTAAGCTGAAACGGAGATTAGTGCCTGGTGTTTACCGCTGTAGTAATAACAATAACAACAAAAAAAAGTGTTATTTTGTTTTAATTATGTATATCAGATGTGTTTTGTTTAGATCAAATTTCTTTGATTTAAACCACATTACTTTTATTGAAACCACCGTACCTAGAAAACAGTGAGTCTCTACCACAATCTACATTTCTAAACATGGCAGTTCGATTGACAACCTTTTATTGTTGTAACGTAATAGAACAGAGATCGCTTAATTTTTCGAGTGTCTAAAAAAATATTTTTTATTAGTTCTTTTTTTTTTCGGCAATAGTGTGTTACTTAAGTGACGAACGAAGTATAAAACAGAACGCTTAATATGTTCAGGTTTTTTCTTTGCTCGTGTTTAGCCTGATGTCAATCTCTCTTTGATGTTTTTATTATTATTATTATTATTATTATTTCGGTACAAAAATTAAAGGCACGTACAAAGCGTCAAATGATAGACACTCTTTAAATAAAGATTGCCTATCATCATCATCATTTTGCATTCTTTTTGCGAGAAATGTTTGATGCAAATCGCAATTGAACTGGTCCGATTTAAATAATAGTTTAGATCATCTTGACCTTTACTGTCCACCCTGGACAGTAGGCACTCTTCAAAAATCCCATCGGGCAACGTTGGTGGCCGCCATTCCTTGGGCACGAAGCGTCTGGTTGTTTCCGAGTCCTCCTGCTGGGCGCTAGCACCCGCACTCCATACGAGCTGAAACGAGCTCGCGCGCAGCATTAACAGCCCTCGTGTCCACACGTGTGTTCAGAACACGGGCTAAAAAGAAATACTGGCGGACTTGAGTAATGGACTACTTCCATAAATCCCTTACCGCGCGCGTTGCATTCTGGGAACCTGTGGGCTATATAAGCAGAGCGCGTGTAGTATTTTTTTTTTTTTTTTTTTTGCTTCCCAGTGGTCCTTGCTATGCATAACGTGGCATTACGCCGCGGTGAGGCGCTTCGTGTATCGGAATAATTCTATTGGCGCAGCAGCTACTAGATTGTGCGCAGGTTTTAAAAATAGTCTATCTGAAGGTCTTTGGGCCGTATATATATAGTCGCAGAATATCCATCCGCGTGATGCAAACGTTTCTTGCGACGACTTGGGAAGGAACTTCCTCGGAGCGCTTCAGAGCGCCAGCCCGATTTCGCTAAGAGGTTTCTTCGGGCGATAAGTTCCGAACCAAGTAGGGACTAAAGGGCGATTCATCATTCACACACTCGCGTCGGGTCTGGACCGAGCGCGGCTTGCGGCAGATACGGGTTGCCATGGCAACAGCTGCATCTAACAAAACGGGGTAAAAACCGGCGCTGTTGGAGCCGACGGAGCTGTTGCCATGGCAACCCGTACTAGGGTCGGACTCGGCGCGAGTGCGTGAATCGCCCTTTAAGAGACTTAATTGACCGATACCTTGCGTTCGATTGGTCGAAGACGCTTCAAATCCTCGAAGAATGGCGAATTCGCGTGGTGCTTTCTGCACGCTCTCGATCGCTCTTTCCAGAGCGCGCTAAATCGGGTGGTGGAAAGAGAGTGGCCTGATCGGCTGGTTCATTCCGACGGCGCCTCTCCCTGTCAGAGCGCTCCTCAGCGCTCCGTCGGTAGACGTCGGAGTGCGAAGCGGCGCATGCGTCACGTGGTACTTGGACGGACGGGGTCACGTGGTTTTGTTGACGATGGCCGGCAGTTGTCTGCGGTGGTGTGCGGGATTGGGCGAGACGGCGATTGACGAAATAACGAAATGTTTCGAAATGCTCAGGTTTGGTAAAAGTGCGTTTAAAGGTTTCGGTTCTAAAATAAAAGGAAAGAAGGGAAGCACACTCATTTGTGTCACATGGCGATATGTGTTATAGCCTGCTTGCACATTATTTCACCTTGAGAAAAATACGGTTTATTAACCATTTTATATTTGCCTGCTCTGCCGTACGCATGACCGCTATCGCAGCGCGTTCACTGTCGAAAACGCGATGAGTTAACTCTTTCCACGCATTGGCGTTCGTTCTGTTCCGCAAAAACCAATTTGCGTACTGCTGTTTTTTTGTTGCTGTTTTTTTTTTTTTTTACATGCTGATGCGTGAAACAATTTACCTCACGACCGTTGTTTTTATCACGTTGCGAGCGCACATTTTGCTGAATCGTCCACCGTATGCTTCAAAATCTTTTTTTAATGCATTACTAAGATGAAGAAGTTTTACTTCCGTGATTGGTCTGAGAATCTCGGAGCGCTCTGAAGCCAGCAGTTGTGATCGGCTGAAAAGAATCCCCGAGTAGCTCTGCTGAATCAAGTTCAGAGGAGAGAGGCGACCACCCGAATTCACCAAAAGAGATAGCCCCCGGCTCGTGAGCCTCTAGCGAAGTGCTTATAAGGTGCAGGAATGGATATTAAAGAGGATTGCACTGCTAAAGGCTGTCCTACAGGCCCGCTTCACGCACGAAGGGAAGAAGGTGTGTCAGGACAGTCTTGCGGTGCTGCAGACTCCCGGCGGGATGTATCCACTGCTACTGGTATACATGGAAGAAGACTTCACGAGTCTTAGGAAACGATTTCCAGGCGATCGTTGTCCGTATATACGCAGTACAGCTCTATGACCTTGCGATGTTTCATTGCGTGCCTGCTTCTTACTAAACCACCTTTGATTCACTTCTTTTTTTTTTTTTTTTGTCCAAGGCCTGGGAGCTGTTGGTGCTCAGCAAGCTCAACTGGGACATGGCGTCGGTGGTTGCCAACGACTTCGTGGACCACCTCCTGTGCTGCCTCGGAGTGTCCGGCGACAGGGACACGGTTCGGAGGCACGCCAACACCTTCATTTCCTTATGCGCCACCGGTAAGCACTGGCCCTGCTTTCTTTTTACTTTTTTTTTTATGCGCACGTGTTTTTTGTGTGTTTTTTTGTATATTCCGATTAATAATAATAAAAACTTTATTCATGACATATATGCGTATGGGTGAGGTCCGACCGCAACTGACGCAGCTATCGGCTGCAGCCAGTCGGGCAGTGTGAAAAGTGCATCGTAACGGCGCTATCCTCGGCTAAACAAATCGCGTATTGGCGGCTACTTGCCCTGTGAGTGTTTCTTTAGATATATATGTGAATGAGTGATTTAAGGAAGTTGGCTCCGACCGTGCTCAGGGCACCGTCGGTTCGAGTTTGACCGGATTCGATCGACTTTTTCAGATTTTTTAACGCCAAGTTCGTGTCGAAAGTTCGACTGAAGTTTGAGTATTACGAGCATGCGTGGAAATTGAAAACGAGCTAACGCAGCGGGCGAGGGGTGCAATATTTATGGGCTAAATATCTTTTTTCTCCACATTTGCAAACTAACTGGATCGTTGAAATCTCGTGTTAGCTTTGGTGGCGTGAAAATACAAAACACACTCACGCGTAAAAAAACTTCCACAATTTTCCTTTTCTTTTATATTTTTTTTTGCGTAGAGATCGAGCGACACTGTACGAAAGTCGGAACTTTGCCAAAAGTTTGCATGTTTTCGCCGAACCGGTTGAACTTGAAGTTCGACCAAAAGTGTGTGACATCCGTATACCCCGCTCAGCCCTAAGCTGACAGTGCGGTGGAAGCTAGGCGCTCGCCAGGCCAAGTAACAGCCTCCTTTTCATCACGTCTCCCCGATCTCTCCGCGTGAGTACGGGCGGAATGGGGATCACGGAAAATTCGGGAAGTCGGTCATCCGGTGTCTTTACTGTACAAGTGAACAGTTTAGCCAGCGCAGTACTACCATTAGCCTGTGGATCCTGAACGTGCACCACGCAGTAATGATGACGTGAATGATGCATATTAAAACGTACGGGGGTGGGGATTTGGCTCACAGATCCCTGGGTTCCAGGGCGCAAGGTTTTTGCCCCATGTAGCACGATAGGGACATGCCTAGCTTGCCGAAAGTTTGGCATTCCTAGAACCCTAACTTGCGCCTAGGACGGTTTTGCTCCAGCGTTAGTTTAGTGACAATACTTGGGTGTTCCGAAAGCTTTCTTTTTTTTTTTTTTCTGGTTCGCCACATAATTGCCAAACTGCCAGACTTGAGCCACATATGCCACGTATACGAACCGAAGGACCAGTGGTAAAGCTTTAATCTGGCACTTCGTTGGCAGTTGTGACCCGAAGATGCCAGATGAAAACCGAACAAGCAGAAGGGAAGTCTGACTTTGGGGCGGATTTGGCAATATAGGCCTAAAGGTATACCAGATGACGGCAAAGCTATATACTAAGAGTGAAGCCTCACTTTGGCACTGGTTTATTGAATTGGGGCCAAGATACCGAGACTCTGGCCAAAGAATGACAACTTTGGCTATACTTTGGATTCTTCGAGCTTTTTAGCGCCCTAAATTCCCAGACAAAAACTCACATTTTAGCCCAAAGAGCAGTGCTCCGCGCCACAGTGTGAACACACACAGCTGCCCACACCCCGCAATCATGTGGTAAAAGACAGACAATCATTGTCCAACGGGAACATAGCTTTCACCGCATTGCCTGCGTAGGGGTAAACGAAGTGTATAGTTGTATTTATTTATATATATATGTATATAACCGAGCGTTTTGGTGAAATATTATTTGCACACGAAAGAATAAACAAATAGCCATATATGGGTAACTTACTTCCTAAATGTAATTTAATTACAGTTACAATTACTTTGCTCCCTAAGTAGTTTAACTGTAATTACAATTAGTACAACGTGAAAATTCATTACAATTACAAATTACTTTTAAAAAGTAATGAAATTACTTTACAATTACTTATTTCTGAAAACGACTCAACTTGGGCCACAAACTATAAACAAGTTGTTTAGAATGCAACGTTTATTCATTCCTTGCCCCTGCCGCTGTGTTTGAGGAGGCTTAAGCATCGTTGTATAAATATCACTTATTGTACTTTCTTTTATTTGAATTTTGTTAAATTAATGATAGAATTTGACAGTTTCGGATAATGAAGTTCTACATTCTTATATTTTCAATAAATAATAATGAATTAGGTCATATACTCGAAGACGCCAGATCGCTAAAGTAAACTTGGGTTGACACACTTGTGTTGGCCAGGGAAATAAGAATACGACAATTAGTCATATCACAATATATTAAGCGGTAATACAAAACTACAATCTACACGCGCTATTACGAGCAGATTCAAATACAAGCGTTTGATGTTATTGTAAACTATCTACATTGGGTTGAAAACATAATGGCTCAGAAATATATACGAACCGAATCGGGGCTCCGGAATCAATGATGACAATATTGACAGTTCGTGGTGTCTTAAAAATGCTTATGCGAATATTATCCGAAGTAAAACCAACAAAAAATAAACTTGAAAAAGAAAATAATATGAGAGAGTACTGAAAGAGGGACGTGAAAACAAATGACAAAAAAAGAAACATAACTTTACATCGATAATTAAAATCTCCTATCTCGGCTGAAAGCTGAAGCTCAGTCTTGTTTGTTTCAGTATTTTGGCACGTTTACGGGGTACTGTTTTCTGTTCACACCGCAGATGGCGCCGTTGAGGTTGGCTCCAAAAAGGATTGTCTCTCAGCCCGCAGTGCAAGCAACAAAACAACATACAATGCGACGCTATTTTTATTGTGCATCCGTGTGAGTCCGTGTGTATGTGTGCGATTGTCACCGAGCGCTAGGGCTTTCAGAGAGGTTCCGTCGGCGCCGCAAAGTCTCGCGAGAGTAATTGTAATTGTGCCTGAAATTTCGCAGTTCCTGATGCAAGAAAGTAATTGAATGTCAATTACTTTTAGCCGAAATTAATCGATTATAATTACAAATTACAAAGAAAATAATTAAATTACAGTATTTCAATTACTCTAATTGAATTACTGCCAAACTATGCAGATAGGGCGGAGCACGGAGCACGCAACATGTTTCACTGAAAGATGTTGCCCTATATGTTTATGATTTCGCGCGTAAATAGAGACGCAGCTTTGGCCCTTAGCCAAGCCTGTCGGCATCTCCGCTCAAAGGTTCAAATCCGGCGCGATGCAGTTGCTAGGTCGTTTGGAACGCGGACGAGGGGCGGCGGCGGCGCGGCGACGTTGTGCCTTTTTTATCGGGGAAACATTGTAATACACGTTGTTTGTCCGCGCCGTCCCTATCGCCCGGAAGGCAGGAGGGGCCTCTTGGGAGGGGGGCTGCTCGGGGGCGGCTGATAATAACAAACGGGACGAGGCAAGCAAAAAGCCAACACTATGGCTCGGCCGGTATACGTATGCGGGACTCGAGGGGTCCGCTGTAGTATTCGCACGTGTATCGACTCAGATAAGTGCCGCCAAGCATATACTTGAATGAAGTAGATACGTCAGTATGGGCATTCTGGATTCGATCCGATTCCAAGTGATCCCTGAAGTGTGCGACGCAATCTGCATGAAGTACATTCCTTTGGAGCCGATCTCCAAGAGCATGTGTCCAGCTGCTAAGGGTGGAATGGCAATCAATCAGTCAATCAGCTTTATTCACTTTCAGATTGCGATAAAAATGAGGGCGCGATGAAGTATATGCATAAGTATAGCCACTCTGGGTCTAATCTGTATCTGACTGTTCCTCATGTTTGCCGACGCAATCTGGATAAAGTACAGTCCTAGCCGTTCTCAAGGGCATGTATCCAGCTGATAAGGCTGGCGTACGTCAATCAATCGCTCAATATTGTTCACTTTTTAATCGGAATAAAACTAACATAAGAATGAAGTATCAATAGTATAGACATTCTAAATTCTCGATATGAATCTGACTGATGCTGTTGTTTGCCGACGAAATATTCATTAAGTGCATTCCTTCGGAGCCGATCTGCAAACGCATGTGTCCCGCTGCTAATTGCTGGAATGTCGATCAATCAGTCAGTCGACCGGTCATTCAACCAATCATTCAGTTTATTCACTTCTGAATCACGATGAAGGCGTCGCCTAACGCGTCTGGATCGGTATAGCCCATTCGGCTATTCTTGGATCCATTCAAATATGAACAGAAATAAGAATGCGAAGGTTTCCCAGCTTGCGTCGTACAAATAACAGCAATGTATTACTCACTCATTGGATCTACGTAGAGCTTTTTTGTGAGTTGTAATGAACGTTTGGCTTTTTGTATGCGCTCCACCCTTTAGTCCCCTACACTGTCATTCGTTGTTCGTACACATTGCGAGATAATGGAACGTTGAAATTGTTTTTAAATGGACACTCTTCGTCATTCTGTCCGATTGTGAGAATATACTCGGTGGCACTCGTGTACTAGTCACTAAAATTTGCAACAGGACAGCAGTTTCATAATCGCGTATTGAGCTTCGGGCAACATCGCTGAGTGTTCCCTTTTGTAGGAAAAAATCCGTCAGTGTAACAAAAACAAAAAAGTAGAGAAAGCGGCTATCGGTGTGAGTCGACGGCCACATTTTGGCAATCCACGTTCAGTACGTTCGATGGCTGGTCTATTTAATCATCTCGAACTATTCTTTCCCTCGAACTGATATATCGCCTGTGCTGGACGGATTCGTCAGCTAATCTTTGTTGTCGAGGGTTCTAGAAGTCCCTAACTCTATGAAACGTTTTGCCGGCATTACGCAAATGCTCATTAGTTGCAGAAAGCTCGTGGTGAGTGCGAGAAGACTCGACGCGGCATGCGCAAGTTAGACTATTTGGGGTTATTCTCCGTAGAGACGTTGCTTCAGTGAGGCATGTCATTGGTTAGCTTCGCGCCACGTTTCGCTCATACTCGTATTTTATCGTGGCGATCCCGGGCGGTTCATTGGTTAGCGACATTTACAACGGAAAAGGTTACACAGACACACACACACACACACAATCAGCCCGACACGAAACGTGGA